ACTCAATAGGGGCTGCTTTAGCGTTCAAAATAGATCCCAAGCCCTCAAGTTTAAGGAGAACAGTGAGGAAGTCTTTAACAGGTTCTGGAATACCATTTGCCGGAGTTTGTAATGGCGCCCAAGGCGTTGCGGATTCAGAGCCTTAAAAAGGACAGGCGAGGGCAAAGAGAACCGTCACAAAGCATGATTGGTGGCAGATCAATACAGCACAGCCACAGGTGGGACTCCCGAAGTCGGAATGGGACCCCAATTGTGTCTCACAGATCCAGTTGGCTAGATTTGTTCCAGGCCCTCGGACCAGGGCAGTTACGTTTCCAGTTTCCATGCAGGAAATGTACCCAGGTGAGTCCCCAAGGGCATCCCTTCCCCCAGCACTCCCCAGCAATTCACGTCTCAGAAGGTATGGTCTCGGGGTCAAGCGATTCACACTGCTGGTGGGTGGTCAGAGGTGGATCGATGGGGACTCCTGAGTGGATTTAGAACTTTACCTGTAAACTGTAGCCTTGGGCAAAGTTCATGCTCAGAAATTGAAGCTCTAGTGCAGGCCTCTTAGTCAGTCCCTGAAGAGTTAACAGCTACGTTGGGCCTTGCTGAGGCCTTCAAGCAGCTCCGCTCCTTCGAACAAAGCAGAAGAATCCTGGTGACAACCGAGAGATACATGGGGGAGAAGCCGCTTCCTGAACCGGATAAACCCGCGTTCCCGGTCCGATTCCATCCACGGGCCTTCCATGGGCACAGACGCCTTCCCACACCATCTCCTCCAGAGGGGGTCAGGGGGTCGGGGGGTCGCTCGATCAGCGCACCCGACCTCAGGCCCTCCCGTCCCCCGGGAGCTGCTTCGGCCCACTGTTACTTAACCCTGGCTATCTCATGGTCAGATGTTGAGCTTACACATACAGTGCTTTGCATTTTAAGTTGCCAATACAATTAAAAAAAAAAAAGCGACAGGTGTCAGAAGCTCTCGGGGCAGTTGTCCCCTGCCCTGTAGGATCACGGTGAGTCGGCAGCGACTCCATGGCCGTGACCATGGCGGGTGCTCTGTCTTTAGTATAAGACTCGATGTTAAATTGAGCGGTTGTGATTCAGCACCACTTGGCCCCGCGCTGTGTGTGCGGAGGCACTTAGCTCTTGGCCTTGGGTGGGCGTATGCGTGTCTCCCCAGCCAGGTCTGTGGTGCGGGGGTGGGGGTGGGGTGGGGGGGAGTGGGGGGAGTGAGGTGGGGGGGGTGGGGGGGAGGATCCAGGTGGCTAGTGGTTGGGCCGCTTGGATTTCTCATCTTGCCTAGGCCACTTATCAAGAGTGTCATGGGAATGGTGTTGGTACAAAGTGGGCGATTGGAGCAGCTTGAGCTAATCCACAAGACAGGAGCAGAAGACAGCTCGAGAGTGTTTATTGAGTACCAGGTCCCAAGGAAGACCAAGGAGTCTGCTTCCACAAGCAAGAGGGTCGGGAATGTTTGATGGTCAGGGTGTGGGGGAAGCGGTCTTCTGGGCAGTCTGGCTATGTGTTGGTCACAGCCTGGTTCACAGATCGCTCTCTCGGCTTGGAGGTGCAAGTTCTCCTTCGAGCTGCAGGTCTTGTTAGCTGAGTTTTGCCCATCAGATGGAAATGGGTTCATCTTAACCTCTAAGGGGAAACAGCAAGGGTTTATTAGTTCACCCTGAATTCTAACAGAATCACAAGATTAAAACAAAAGGGGAGAAGAATCCGGCTGCCTCGGCTATGTACTGCAACCCAAGGGGTCTCAACAGCCCCAGGAGGAAGGCAAGGGGCTGGGAGGTGAGAAGGACACATTGGAAGTGTTCTTTGGCAAGCGGCTCTCTTATCCTGCTAGCTTTAGAATGCATTCGTGTCATCCCTGCAGGCCTCGGGCCTGTGATCCAGGACAGGGACAGTTTGGGGAGCACACAGTCTAAGGTGCCCCGGCCGGTTTGACCCAAGCTCAGGGATCTGATAACGACAGGAGAGGTTAGCCACTGGGATGGTGGTGTGGCAGTTGAGGGGCCTGCCGAAGAGCCTGTTCTTCCTTTCCCTGTCCCGGCCCTCGGCAAAGTGGTCAATGGCCAGTCCAGGGGAGGGCCTCAATAACATACGGGGTTGAATAATTTCTAGTGTTAGCACCTGCTGTCCGTGTGACAAGATGGCAAATCATTTCACCTCTCTGTGCCTGTTTCCCCACCTACAGAGCAAGGTTGGTGATAATTAAAACCTGAAAGGGTTGTACAAAAGACGACTTAAAAAACCCAAAGAACTGAAAAAGAACAGAAAACACCAAAAACCACCCCACTGCCATGGAGTTGATTCCAACTCAGAGCCACCCAGCGCTGCAGTTTCCTGTGAACCACCAACCTTGAAGCTAACAGTTCGAAGCTTACCCAGCCTCAACCACCGGGGCTCCTGTGAGCATGCAGGGTCACCCCAGAGGGTCACACGGCCTCTTCTCAGCAGGGTCTAGCATGATAGTGGTCAAAGAGCTTTTTTTCAGGTGGAGATTCTTCTAGATATTCAGTTTTCACACTTTTGGGTCTGAGAACTCCTTAGACTCTTAATAACTATTAAGGACCTCAAAGAGCTGTTGTTTATGTGGATTATATCCATCCAATGTTTACCATACTAGAAATAAACCCTGAAAATGAACATTATATTTATCAATTAAAATTAATAAAATTAAGCTATGCATATTAGCCTAATAACAGTTTTATAAATAAAAGCACTTTGCAAAATACAATTAGGAAAAAAGCCGCATAGCTTTAAATCTCTTTCATGTTAGGCGTTGTCGTGGGATTTGTCTATCTGCTCTGCACGTAGTCTGTTTGGCTTGAGGTCCATGAAGAAAATCTGACCTTTCTCAGATCGATAGCTGAGAAGGACGGAGTGACCAGATCATTGTGGATAGTCTTCTTTGAATACTACACCCAAACTTGACAAGTGATACTTTCTAAAAGTTAGTTGTAATGTGGAATTTGAAATCATATGAATACACTTCACACTGCATTAGATTATAACTCATTGGTTCGCTTGGCATTTTGAAAGTTGTTTTTACCTAAGCCTGATTTTGTCACATCCCACGTCAGTCATCTGGAAAATATTGATTCATTAAGTTATATCAATCTTTGACATGCTGACATTATCAAAAAATCACCTTTGCTAATATTGCCGCTGATCTTATTAGAAACGTTTTGAAGTCCTAGAATATGATCATATTCAGAATGAGAGATGCAAACTTTCCAGAATTCTAACTTGATCGAAAACTTGCATTTTCTCACTGGCAACAAACACTGTCTGTTGTTGCCTTTGAAGTGACAACATGACTCACTTTGCTCACTTGTGAGAAAAGAAACTTCAGTAATCATGATTCCTCTGTCATTTGTTCCTTCCAATAAAAATGGCATTTCACAGAAAAAGCAGCTAGTGCGGCTTTCCCTCGAAGCAGCCGCCATGCGTCGCCATGCAGCCATAGCGTCACAGAGCGAAGTAAGAAATAGAGTCTCGGGCTGGGATTGGATACAATTCATTTGAATCCTTCATCAAGGACATTCTTAAGGGAAGAGGGCTGGTTTTCCTTCTTGAGAAGGAGCGAGAGGTGAATATTAGCGTGGTACTAATACAATGATTGCTACGACAGCTTTCTGCTGGGATTCACCTAAGACACCCATCGGTGTTACTTGACGGCAGTGGGTTTGTTGTGGGGAGTGTTACCCACCATCAGTGCAGATGTCAACAGAGTGACAAGGTCAATATCAACGTCGTACTGTTTTGAAGATGGTATTGACGTCATGGGTCCCTGGAAAGGACCTTGGGAACAGAAACCAGAACTGGTCTGTGGATCCCGCTTGGGTGTTTGCTGGTCTAGGCCATCCCTCGGACACTCCCCTTCTCTGCTGGCTTCAACAATTCATTGCAACGGCCACTCAGAACTCACAGACAAGACTCACAATTAAGGGGAATTTATTAGGGAAGTTCAGGAAGAAGATGAGCCTTTCCATTCCCGTGCAGGTTGACCGTCTACCTGAGAGCAGTTCTACCCTGCCCGCAGGGCTGTTAGAGGTCGGAATAGACTCGGGGGCAGTTGAGTGAGTGAGTGAGTTGATTAAGAAATTTAACAGGTTATGACAACCCAGCCCCAGAAAGCATTAAGGATACAGTCCTTGGTCCACAGCAACATCTTGCCTCAGCCAGTCTCTCTGGCCCTCAGCCTCTCAGCCACATGGTCCCTGGGCTTTGTCTCTGTGGGCCAGGAAGCCAACCCACTGGTCTGTCCCATAATCTCATAGTCTCGGTGCTGCTTCTCGGCTCTGTCTCATGGTCTTCTTGCTTCAGCCTCTGGTCTCAGCCTCTCTTAGCTCCTTTGCTTTGTCCCTGGGTCTCTGTGCGGCAGCCTCTGGTGCCTCTGGCCTTGGCCTCTGCCACTTCAGAGAGCTCCATGTGCACCACTGGTGGCTCTCCTTTGATGCTCCTGGCCTTCTCTCTGTCCTCCCGAGATGGACAAGCAGCTGCTGCAGAGGAGAGGCTTTGAGGGGAGTGGGGCTTTTGTCTCTCGGCAGACGTAGCCCCCAAGGAAACAAAGAATGGTGATTTGGTTCACACCTCTGATAAGGTGGAGACTCAGAATCCATCTCATTTTAATCCTGTCCATTAGCATAGTGAAGAACTCTTTCCAAAATGGGACTATAACCACGGGCATAGAGGATTGGATTTATATGGCTAGAAGGGCCCTATTAATTGACTGTCTCTCAAGCATGTGCCCACAGTCAGCTGGGTAAGCGCTTTTCACCATTACCTTCACAACGACTTCAGGAAGAAGACCCTGATGTCATTTCCATGTACAAATGGGGGGGCCTGATGTTGCAAAGGCAAGAAGGGCACTGCCCACGCTCATGCCATCGTGAGGAAGAATCAGGATTTAGGCAGGTCATCCCGAGCCCCACCTGCATGCCCATAACTGCCATGCCAACTTTGCCCACCACTGAGGGTTTTCCTTCTTCCCACTCCATCTGCAGATAAGATCCTGGTCCACTGTGCCATGGGCCGCAGCCGGTCGGCCACCCTGGTCCTGGCCTTCCTGATGATTCACAGGAACATGACCTTGGTGGATGCCATCCAGCAAGTGGCCAAGAACCGTTGTGTGCTCCCCAACCGGGGCTTTCTGAAACAGCTCCGAGAACTAGACAAGCAGCTGGTGCAGGAGCGGCGGCGAGCAGGCCCGTGAGGAGGAGCTGTGGGCCCTCCTCCCCTGGGAGAGCACAGGCATCGGGGCCTGTGTGTCTCAAAGAAGGCCCAGTGGAACCAGAGCTTGAATTCTTCCAAAGACGCCGCAGCTGCCTTGGTGCGCACTGGTGAACAGAGGGCTCTGAAGCTGCCTCTCGGCTCCCCAGTAAAACGGAGAAAGGATTCCTTGCAGAATCGGTTGTAGATGAGGGCAGGGCTCTGCACAGAGCTGAGACTGGTGTGTTTTGTTTTTATAATGTTGTTTTGTTTTTGAGATGGAAACAAAATGGATTTTGAAATATGTAGGCATTGTGCTGTGATTAAACATTTGCCTTTGTTTGAAAGTCACTTTCTTATCAAAGTAAGTTTGAAATAGAAGTAACATCTATTTTTAACTACAGATAGATCTCTCGGCGAGCTGCACTACCTGAGTGTGCACGTCTGGCTAGGGAGGCCCATCCTTCATCCTGTGTTCTTTTCTATGGGAGGCTCAGGCTTGGTCTCTATCTATAGATGCACTTGCACAGACTCTTTTAGTTGGTGTGGGCAGTGGGAGGCCTGTATAGAGGTCCCTGCTTTAGGCTCCCTTCTCTTGCTTAGGGAGTCCAAGCTGGAGAACTGACCGTCAGTGCCCTGTTTGCATAGTGGCTCAGTGCTCGGCTGCTGACCTAAGAGTTGGTGGTTTGAACCCACTTGATCCATGGAATAAAGATGTGAAAGTCTGCCCTGTACGGACCTTCAGTCTTGGAAACCCTCAAAACAGACTGCCATCGAGTCACTGCTGACTCGCTATAGGACAGGCTTATGGGTTTCCCACACTGTCAATCTTGGAGGGAGTCGCAAGCCTCATCTTCCTCCTAAGGGGTGAAGAGTCACTTTGAATTGCTGACTTTGTGGTTTGCAGCCCGCACATGCCCCTCTGCACTACAGGACGCCCTTCTGGCATTCAGCCTCACAGGGTCAGACGATGCTGATGTCATTTCCATTGTAGGAATCTGAATCAACCTAACAGCATTGTTGCTGTTGTTCCTGTTACTCTTCAGACTCTTAGCCTGAGCCATTATCCAGAAGAGGGCAACGGTTTCTGCTATCTCAGGACAGTTAAGAGTTTGACTTTACACACGTTAAAAACATGAGGGAGCAGACAGTCTTTGGGGAACAAAACTCTGGTTGTGGTACTTCTAGTAGAAGCCACACTGGCTTGTTTTCCATCAGGCCAGGGTGTTGGCTGTGGCCAGGAGGAGCTGAAACGGCCAGGGGCACTCAGGCTGGAGGTGGGCTCCCTGGGGCCGTGCCCATCGCAATGGCTGTGGGAGGCTCGTTCTGCAGGAGAAGGCAGCAGCAGTCGTGAGGGGCATAGTGATGACTCCTGGCACAAGGACCCCTAAATCAGACAGACCCCAAGGAGAGGCGCTGATGGAGAGATGCGGAAGTCAAGAAGCAGACACTGGACGCACCTAGAGAAAATCAACAGAGCTGGATCCAGGTCTGCTGGGGAAAATAGGAAGGACCCAGTTTCCGGTTGAGCAGAATGAAAGTGGGTGTTCTTGGTAGAGGCAGGATAGGCGCAACAGGTGTGTAAAGTCACCAAGAGTTATTGGGATCTTGGGAAGCTGCTCTGCTTTGGGGTCCCCGGGGAAGACGGGAGCCCTGGGCCTCTGTGACGAGGCGTGGCTTCCTTGATAGCCTGGGCCTGCCCGGGGATAGTCAGCCTGGCGCAGGAGTCTGCTGATGCTGTCAGGTGCGGTCAAGTTGGTTCCGGCCAATAGCGACTCTGGGTCCCAAGAACACACTGCCCGCTCCGGTGCCACCCTCAGAGTCACGTGCTTGAGAGGAGCTTTTCTGAGGCTCCTTTGCAGTAAGGAGATATATGTGTGTATTTTAGCAGTAAGGATATTTCAATAGATTAAAACGCCTGAAACATCACCCTAAAAAATGTGCAAAGCAAAAAGGCCAAGGCGGACCGGCAAGCTAAGTGTGCAGTAAACTGGACTATCTCTGTCCTAAGGCCGAAAAGGCGGACGTTTCCTTTGAAATGGTGACAGTGTTGAATTGAACACAGACCATCCGAGGTCACTGCAGATGCCACAGCATGTGAGGTTGTGAAAGAGAGTTATATCGCCCTGGCATAATGCCCTGTGGTCACGGAAGTGCTGGTTGACGCAGATTGGCGCGTGAAGGCGTCACAGATCATCTCTTGGGACTCGGGTCCTAGTGGCCTCTGCCTTGCTTTCCTACCTCGAGGCCGTGCTAGCCTCCTCTGAATTCACGCCTCCCAGCTCTGCCGAGAGAAATCCGGACCTGTACTTTAATGAAGCAGGACATCCTCGCGTGGAAAGGCTGGAAGCTGTTGTTTCCTGGGGGTCCCTGCACCTCACTGCTCCCATTCCCTGTGGGCCTGAGTCCAGCCGACCCAGAGACCGCTCTCTTCCACATTACTCCCGGGAGCCAGAGATAGGAATCAAGGGGCACAGCAGTTCTTGTGAGGGGCTCCAAGGGAGGTCTTCAGAGATGGAAGAAGTCAATAAGTAGTTACTGAGAACTCACTACCTCCCAAGAAGGGAGTTAGGAAGCCCAATGTAAAAAAACAGGCAACAATGTACATTGTGATGAAATGCAATGAGGGCATAGGTACCGAGGTGGCAAACAAGGGCCAAAGAAAGGGTGGGAGAGAACATCACGTTAGACGGAGTGATCAAGGAAGACCGGAGGAGACAGCTGAGCTGTGATTTGAGGGAGAAAGCCTTTCCCAGGAGGAGGCAGCATTCTAGGTCAAGGACTCGCCTGCGATGGCAAGAGGTGGGTAGATTGGAGGAGCCACTGATCAGTGCGGCTGGCGCTGTGAGGGGGAAGGGGGAAGGTGGGGAAATGCGATTTTAGTCAAGGTGCAAAGAAAAAGCACTTGCGTTTTAAGCAGGGGAATAGGATAATCCAACACTCTGGAAAAACAAGCCTACTGACTGGAGTTTGGAGAAAGGATTGTAAGGAGTTAGGCAGGGAGGCACAGTGACCGATTGGGAGGCTGTTCACAGTATTGATTACCCCTCAGCAAGGAAAACCTGGATCTCCGTGTTTTCACTTAAGGATCGTGAACCACTGGGCGTTTTCCCACAGTAAAGCTTCGGCTTCTGGCATGTTCTCCCAGCCCAACAGCACCTTCCTGCAGAATTCGAGCTGCTTCCCAATCATCCCTGACAGGGACAGTGCTAATAAGCAAGGTAAGTATGGATTTATTTACCTATCTGTAATAAGCAGTTTCACATGTGGTGGTGAGAAAAACCATGTGAAACTATCGCTGTTGATTGTTCAGCAAGCACCAGTCTGCCTGTGCTCACTTGTTTGGTCACCTGACACTGGCTGTTAGAGGAGAGCATGCCGGGGGTCAGGACTGTCTTTCATATTATTCTGGAGTTAATCCTGGGGGGGACTGGATGTGTAGATGAGATAAGACTGGTCAGGGCAGGAATTAACCAGTTCAGGTTAGGTCAAGTCTGAAGGGCACGCAAGCTGTGTCACATCATTTGACTGTGCATATAGAGCTCAATGGAATGCTTTTGACTAGAGATGTAATTCTGGCTGCTCTCTGTAGACATGGAATTTGAAGTCATGGTACTGGATGAGCGAAAAGAGGCCAGGCTAGGCCAGGCCGGAGAGTCGTGGAACAGCTAGCCTTTAGAAAGCCTGGGAGGAGAAGGAAGATTCTAGGAAGGGGACTGGGAAGGGAGAAAACCAGGAATGTGGCACATGGAAGCCTGGACACACAGATTGAAGGTGCTCCTTCAGAGTAAAGGGAACTTGTCCTTTGAGTATGTTGGGCCACTGTAGACCAATGCTTCCCCGAAACAATGAAGCACCCCGTAATCCCATGTGGGAGCCCTGGTGGCAACATGGTTATGAACTGCGCTGTGATCTGCAAGGTCAGCATTTCCAAACCAGCAGCCACTCCGTTAGACTGGGCTTTCTACTCCCGGAAACTGTTAGTCTCGGAAACCTATAGGGCTCCCGATGAGCCAGCATTGACTCAATGGCAGCGAGTTTTGGTTTGGGTCTGGAATCTTACTGAACAGTTTTTAGAGCATCACGTGAGCACTGGCTCACTGCCATTGAGTGGGTGCTCATAGCGACCCTGTTGGACAGGGTAGAACTGCCCCTGTGAGTTTCTGAGCTTTGAACTTTTTGTGTGTGTAGGTGGGGGTAGATTTTAACTTTACAGAAGTAGAAAGCCATGTCTTTCTCCCTTAATATGTAAACCCAAACCAAACAAACAAAAAACCCCCCATTGCAATGGAGTCAATGCCAGCGCATAGAAACGTTATAGGGCAGGATAAAACTGCCCCCCTAGGTGTATGAGACTCTTTACAGGAGTAGAAAGCCTTGTCTTTCCCATTGACGTGAGCATTAAATTAAAAACCTAAGCTCACTGCAGTGGAGTGGATGCCGACGCATAGCAGCAACTCAACCACCTTGTGGGTTTCTAAAATCAACTCCTTATGGGAGTAGAAAGCCCGGCCGTTCTCCTTTGGTATGGCTGGTGGTTTCAAACTGCAGATCTTACGGATCACAGCGCTACTAGGGCCCCTTTAATGTGTCCATCAGCTAAGCTTACAGAGATAACAACTTTTAGCCTTCACACACTTTTCACAGGAAAAAGGGCTGCAATTTGGAGGTGTGGGTTGGTTTCAAAGAAGTCCTGGTGGTGCTGTGGGTAAGGCTGCTAAACCTCAAGGTATGCAGTTCAAACCCATCTGCTGTTCCACAAGAGAAAAATGAGGCTCTTGGCTCCTAAAGATTTATAGTCTCAGAAACCCTATGGTTGCTATGAGTTGGAAATGACTTGGTGGCAGTGGGTTGTTCTTTTGGGGGGCTTGTTTCAGCTCAAAAATTCTAGCTGGGTAAGTTGAGGGATTTAAAATGGCTTCTTGGCGCCTCCATCTCCTATCTGTACATTGGAGCCAATTATATGTCCTGAGCTGATTCTTCCAGTGACAGTGGTTAAGTATGCAGCAGTCGCACAGATGGGCACTTTTCTCTCAAGTGCTTCTGTTCCCTGAAGGACCGTTGGGGCCAGCAGAGGCGATCCCGTACCAGGCTATGCTGCGGGATCCTTGGGCAGCCTGTGGGGAGAATGCAAGAGGAAATGGAATATGCTCAGCCTCCAAGAGTTAAGGCGATGCTATGGCGCCTATGAGGGGGTGGGGGTGGGGGGGGTCAGCAGGCCCCACCTCCCAGTGCAGG